CTGCATTAGAAATAGTGTGGCCAGCAGGAGCAGGGAGGTGATCATCCCTCTGTACTCAGCACTGGTGAGGCAGCACCTCGAGTACTGTGTTCAGTTTTGGGCCCTTCACTATAGGAAAGACATTGAAGCCCTGGAGCGTGTCCAAAGGGCAATGAAACTGGTGAGGGGTCTGAAGCACAAGTCCTATGAGGAGCGGCTGAGGGAGCTGGGATTGTTTAGTCTGGAGAAGAGGAGGCTCAGGGGAGACCTCATTGCACTCTACAACTTTCTGAAGGGAGGTTTTGGGAGAAGAGGGGGTTTGGCCTCTTCTCCCAGGCAACAAACAGGACCCCGGGGAAATGGCCACAAGTTGTATCAGAGGAGATTTAGGTTAGACATAAGGAAAAACTTTTCTCTCAGAGAGTGGTCAAGCACTGGAATGGCTGCCCAGGGAGGTGGTGGAGTCGCCATCCCTGGCAGTGTTCAAGAGGCATCTGGATGAGGAGCTGCAAGATATGGTTTAGTAGCTTGTGGTAGCAGTGGTAATGTGAAGACAGTTGGACTAGATGATCTTATAGGTTGTTTCCAACCTTGTGATTTTATGATCCTATGATTCTATTCAGTGCACATCTCATAGAATTTCTGTTGGGTGGATTAGGAATCTGAAGGTTTCAGCTAGCAAAGAATCTTTGCTTCGTGCATATCAACTGACTTAATTTGATCAGGCTTCAAGGCATTTAGGGATGACTGAAACCCATTTTAGCACTGGCAGATCTTTTGGGCACATCTGGGCACGTATATATTTCCTGTTTCTAAACTTGCTTGGAAAATTATGATTGAAAATAAGGTGTTTTAAGAGAAAGAGTTGCACATAAGTTTCAGCTCTGATAAAAAACAAATTAAAAATGACAGTGATAATTTTGAATGTTTTCTAGTTACAATGCAAAATTCAAATTGTGAATCTTTTTCTTTTTTTTTTTTTTTTAAAGGAAATGGAGAAGTCTGATGCCAATAATTTCTTAATCTTGTTCCGGGATTCAGGCTGCCAGTTCAGATCTCTGTATACATACTGCCCCGATACTGAAGAAATAAATAAATTAACAGGGATAGGTCCCAAATCTATCACAAAGAAAATGATTGAGGGACTATATAAATACAACTCCGACAGGAAGCAGTTTAGCCACATACCTGCTAAAACTTTGTCTGCCAGTGTTGATGCAATTACCATTCACAGCCATTTGTGGCAAACCAAGAGACCGGTAACTCCGAAGAAACTTTTACCCACCAAGGCATAGTAGATGAGAGAAATTCTGCTTCAGACAATTATGATAAACTTGCACTTCATCTTTACTGCCTATAGGAAATAGATCTCTAGTTGCCAACAAGACTCTTAGAACTTAAAACTGGACACAAAGTTGTATTATCATGTCCAACTGGAATGTAAACACAGTGTTTAGGAGTGCAGAAGATTGTCGCTTAATGAGTGATTATGGAAATGTTTGACTTGTGTGGAGATCTGTATGTGCTAATACAACATACAGAGTACGCTCTGTATTTTTTTGGATACACTGAAGCACTGAATGTTCATCTTTAGTGAATCAAACTACATTTTTTTTTTACATCCGTTGCCTTACATGTTTGTATTTGTGCTTGTCTTGAAATTCTGTTTTCTCTCTTAAGAGAGAGAAATACTTCCTAATATCCTCAGTACCATGGAACTTTGCTTATTGACTCTTACACTAAAGACTCTACAATGGTATATGTTACAGAAAAACAGCTGAATGAGTCTGTTCTGCAAAATCCTTATTGAGTACTGTAATAAAATCAGCTCATTCTCCTAAGTAATTATAATTCTGTTTTAATTAAATAGTACTGATTTGCTTATAGACTAAACACTAAAGCAAAAATCCTTGAGTTGTTTTAAAATTCCCTTCAAATAAATTATTTAGCAAGTTAGGGTGTAGTTGAATAAAGGAATTATTCCTGTCCTAGGAAGTTACCATCTGAGATCTAACGACTGACTACGTGCGTGTTCATAATCCTATTAAAATGCAAGCAAAAAGATTTGGCAGAACTCTAAACCAGTTTAAGCAGTTGTGCATTATTTTGCATTGTTGCAGATGAAGAAAGAGCACACAGTCAGCTACTGTGTCTCCATGACAGGAATAAAAGCTCATGAAAAACAATCAAGACTAGATCGCTGATATTTGCCTGATAGAACACTAAAAATATTCAGAAGAATCACAGAATACACTGAGACACAGATCTTTTGGAAGCACCGTATCTAATTCCTACTGATTGTAAGATTTAGGCCACTGCTCATTCTTCCTGCCTTCAGATCAGTTTTCCAGGGAATGGACAATTGATTTCAGAATTTTCAGTGTCTTAGTAAATTCTTTTCTTGATGTGTGCTAACAGATGATGGCTTGTGACACTTAACAATTATAAACACATATGGCAGAAATGGCCTAAGGGTACATTTCAATAAATTGAAAGTATAACCATTTACAAAAATAAACTTTAAGCATATTTCAGTATTATTTACAAAGGGCTGCATTTTGTTTCAAAACAGTGTTTGATTATTTTACAGATTACTCTTCTGTTTCAGTGTTTCTCTTATAATTTGCTTTTAGCATAGCACTGTTCTGAACAAAAAAAAAAAAAAAAAAAAGAAAAGAAAACAAAAACCAAACCACAAACTTGAAACCTCCCCTAAATCTGTAGCTATTTTGATAGTGTACACCAGAGGATTTGTTGGGGGAAAAATCTCATTCTCAGGAAAAGACTTGAATGATTTGTGATTCTGTTCTGTTTCAGTGTTGCGACACCTGCATTAACATAAGACAGTGTTGTGCTATAAGTGTGTACTCCATCCTCTTTCATAGGGACACTAAAATTAAGTTCATATTTCTCTCATTAAAGTGCTTTGAGAGAAACAATGCCTCACTACTATGATGTACTCATTTACTTATATAAAGATGCACCTGAATGAGATACCATTAAACAGTTTAGAACAGTACTTTTTAAAATTATTATGAAGCCTTAGGCATCAATGCATCTGGGTTACAAATATTTTCTCGAAAATGCTGTCAGTTTTACTGTAATTTATGTTCTTATATTTATGTATATTTGTTAAATCTGTAAAAAAGAAAAAAAAAAAAGAAAAAACACTTTAAAATGTATGTTTAATATGTTTGTGGCTCAAAATTATTTGTGGTTAGCAGATTCCTATTGCTTGCATGTATATCACCAGGATATGTAACTCTTATATTTCAAGTGTATACATATTGTGTATATAGCTATAAATAATATTAAATGGGGGCAAGAGAGTTTGCACATTCTGCCTGTTAGACAGTTCCTACAAATACCATTGTAGGAACATGTTGAATAACAGTATGAAATTGTGTATAATATACATTGATAGAAGAAACCAGAAGGCTGGAATCAACTCTTACTCATGTCGAAGGACTTCACAAGAAGTTTAATAATGGGAGGATTTTCATTTCTAAAATGTGTATTATGATTTAGCTGGTAATTTTGCAACACCGTGAAGACACACATCGATCTAATCAAAGTGAGCTTAAGTACACAGCAGAGGAGTTGTCTGGTTCGTTTTAGATATATCTGAATGTATTAAAGAAATCTACACTTGTCAACAGGTGAAAGATTTGTGCAATGTTTAAAAGTAGAATGTGAATAATGCAGCTGAAAAGTTCATTGCTCGCAGTATAAAGTTTTACTTAATACAGGAAAAGTGAAGCTAGATGTGCTTTTCCTTTTTAAGCCTGCAAATTTTCTAATTACAGTGGGTCTATGGTTGGGATCATGTTTAAAAAAAAAATTAAAAAAATTAAAATAAATTGAAAACATGAAAATTATAAGGAAGCTTTCCGTGAAGGCCAGTATTTATCACTGACCTTTTCAGAACACACTGGTGCTTTCATCAGGGGTATTACTATTGTTGCTATGACTGAATTGCCAAACTATCATGTTAGGTTTTGGAGCAAAATTTCGTATTCTAACAGTCACAACAGCTACTGATTTTTTTATTTTATTTTATTTTAGGATGACTGTTAGTTTTTATTATTTGGCTGTTTAAAGCCAAATTCAGCTATTTAATTGATTTAATGGGCAACGTTGGAAAATGTACAGTGTATTGTGTGCTTACTTGTCCACTTCTATGGAGCATAGCTTCCATATTTTTTCAAATGCTGTGCTGTAAAATATTGTCATTGCTACTTATGTGGTACTGTTGTAGTTTTTTCCTTTCATTTAAATAAAAGCATGGCACCAAACGTGTATTTACTTGTTCTCGTGTTTACACCTAAACAAAAATGGAAACTATATGAAGTTTACATTCATGCTTAATTTTTCTCTGCATATAGTATTTCAGCAATGTAGAATTTTTAGCGAGTATGCAAATTATTATTTTTCCTTTTTGTATTGCTGTCTTTCACATATAATTTAGCTTTTAAATGTTATTTGAACCAGGCTAATGAGTAATTAGGCTTCTTGTTACCTTTTTGCAGTCTACACAGAGTTGTCCTGTTCTCTTCAGAGGTGAGTTCCACAATTTCAAGTCAACTGATAGAACTAACTGAACTACAGGGTTGTGTGTTTAAAAAAAAACTAAAAAACTTACAAACTTAGTGGTCAGTGTAATAGGGTTGCTTCGAAAGGGCAAGTTTTCAAGATGATCTCATCTTGACCAAGATGATCAAGACAGCTAGTAAAGAGGGACTTGTGTGAAATAAGTTGTGTTTGTTAGTTTTGCAATTCTGAAGAGAAATTGTATTAAAAAAAAAAAAAGCCCTCCCTTTCTGATACATTAATTAGTAGTTTTTTCCATCCTAAGTTTTACCTTTGTGTGTGTGTTGTGCTGGATTGCAGTGCAAGAGCAAGGATCTTTGCTGAAATGGAATGTGACATCACAGCAACACCAACAGGCAAACTGAATTGTGCTAACTGACATAATGTCTAAATATTCAGATCTACTCTAAGGGCAGCTTAGATAGGAAATTCAATACCAGGACTTCTAGCAGTGTATTTAAAACTGATCAAAATGAATAGTTTTCCCTCCTTTCCCCCAAAACTGCTTATTTTTCAGCCAGCTCAGTCACTTCCCTGTACAGCATTACAAACAGATGGGAACAAAGAAATACAGAGTTAAATGTGCATGTACTTTAAAACTTGAATATGAAAATAACAGAAAATGTAAATATTTGAATGGGTCTGTTATAATCCCTAAAAAGCTTAAAGATGCTTTGCACAAACTGTGGAATGCTGGTGGCAGATAATGTGCAAGGTCAGCATTCCGAGAATGTATCTTAGTCCTGTTGATATGGTATGTGGCCACCTGCAATATCACTAAAATAGTCCCTTTTTTTTTCTCTAAGGCAGTGTGAAACAGACTGCAGTGCTTCACCTTGTTACTAGCCAGCGCAGAACTGCTCTACTAATCCTGATTTTCAAGCTCTTTAAAACCCACACCCAGCTTTGCTATTCATGGAGTCACCTTCTTGTGCTTTAATGACTAGGGAGTTCAAAGCAAGCTGAGGCTGCCCCAAAGATATCCTTCTGTGCCAGAGTAAAGTTTTGAACAACCAAAGAACAGGAGCTTCTATCTCCCCTTTTCCAATAGGATGCTTCTACGAATTCTCTCCAGAATTATTAACTGCTCAAGCAGGCACATCAAGTAATGGTAATGGTTCATCCCCCTCCCCGAGGGCAGATCCTTGGTTCAGGAAATCTCTTTCAAGATTGTAGGATTTTACTGCTTCCCTGGGAAGAAGAGCCCTATATTCTCTGTAGGAAACAGAATAGTTTTAAATTCAGAATTTATTATTCCTTTAGAGTCTCTAACTTGGGAGAAGCCTTACCGTTCTTTCATACCAGAACTCTTACTCTCCAGAGGTGGAGTCTCACAGATTTGATCTCCAGACCCCCCCTGAAAACAGTTACTGCGTGAGAGATTGGTAAACCACAGTAAAGCCATTGTGAAATTGAGATGAAATTTTAAATCGTGTGTGCTCAGCCATTGCTTGGTTAGCTTAAAGTTTAAAATGATTTTTTACCCAAACGTACATTCTGCAAATGTTTTCAAGTCATCTTGTTTTTCCTCTATCATTGCTGCTGTTACATCACTTCTATTAGGCAACAGAAATGAAATTTTCTATTAATCTTTGCCTCTGGATGTAATCAAGCAACAGGCGATAGCTTTTGCAGCAGAAGGGAGGGGTCAGGGTTTTAGCTGGAGAACCCAGCCAGCTTTCTGGGATGCGGTGCTGGGACATCAGTGCTGCAGAAGGAGCCGGCAGCTTCCAGTCCTGGCTCATCCTCTGCGGAGTCACTGCTGCTCAGCCAGGTGGCACCTTGCCCAAGCTGCTCCTCATAGGCCTGACTGCAGGACATCTCTGCGCGTTCCTTTCGGAAAGAAGAAAGAGAACAATATTATGAGGACATTTCCCAGCTGCACTTCAGCTGATTCTTAACAAAGCAGTTTGCAAGCTGAATCAATGCATTGTGCTACTTTGCATTTTTAGCCATCAGTGTGAGAGAATCCAGATTGTTCCCTGACAACCTGTCACACATCACACACATGTAATTAAAAGCGAATCAGGTCTCTACTTCCTCAATTAGAAGACTGTCATCCTCCATTTCGACGTGGCTTGCCCATGCAGTGCTGTATATGTACCAGGATTTTGTCCATGTGGAGCACTGGCATTTTAATATGGTTTGCTGAATCTCATCTCAGTGCAATATCTGAACACAGAGAAAGCACAGTCAGTGTTCACGTATTAGGTCTTAGCTACTGCCTTCTGAGAATTACGAAGATGCATTAAACTGAATGTGAAATCAAATGGAAATGCATCTTTGTATCTCATATACAGCATGTGTACATCTGGTGTTTCATGAGGAACGCACATTTTTCCCCCGATTCGGCCCCGGAGGGAGCTGGCACCGGGCTGCGGAGCGGGGGCAGGGACGCGGAATTCCGGACGGGCACTCGGCCGCGCGACCTCCTCGGCGAAGACGAGGCGGGTCCCGCAGCCCTCAGACGGGCGCCGCAGGCCTCGGGGCGGGCCGCTCCCAGGGACGCGCCCGGAGCCGCCGCGCTGGGCGGGGAACGCCGACGAGCCCGCACTTGCCGGCCCTGCGGCCGCAGCAGCCGCGGCTCCGCCGCCCGACCCCGCCCCACCCGCTGTTCCCTCGGCGCGCGGCCGGGCCCCGCCGCCACCCGCCGCGGCCCGGGGGCGGTAGGGGGGCTCGCCCCGCCGCCGACAAAGCGCGGCCCCGCCCCGCCGCCAGCCGCTCCCCGCCCCCGCGGCGACGCCCAGCCGGGCCGTCCCTTCTCGCTTCCACTCGGGCGGCGAACGGGCACTCCGCCCCGGCGCGGGGAGGGTCCTGGACGCCGGGCGGCGACGGACCGTGAGGCCGGGCGGCGGCCGCAGCGCCGAGCGACAGCGAGACCCCGGCCGACCGAGCGCGGCCCCGGGCCCGCCCCGCAGCGAGGCCTGCCGCCATCTTCTCCTCACGCCCCGCAGCCGGCGCGCGGACGGGCCGCCGGGCCCCAGGTGAGTGCGGCGGGACGGAGGGCGGGAGCCGCGCGGCGGAGGAGTCCGGTCGGGCCGGGCCGGGCTTTCTCCTCGGGGCCGCGCTGCGGGACGGGCGCTGCCCGGCGGTCCGCCGAGCGCGGCTGGGTGCGGGCCGGCCGCCCCCCGCGGCCCGTTCCCACCGTGTGGCCGCGCCGTGCCGTGCCGCGCGGTGCCCGCCGCGCCTCCCTCGCTTCGGGGCGCGTCGACGCGGCGCCGCCCGGTTCCGCCGTCCCTTTGTTGCGGCTCCGCGGGGCGGGCGGCCCCTGTCAGCCCGGCGGCGCGGGCCCGGCCCGGCGGGAGGCGCGGGCGGCTCCGGTGCCGCTCTGCGGTCGCTCTGCGGTCCTGGCCGTGCGTCCCGGCCGTTCTCCCCCGCCCCGGGCCGCCTTTCGGGGAGCGCCCTCCCGGCCCCGCGCTGCGTGACGGAGCGCCGTGCCGCTGCCCGCCGGCTGAGGGGCGTCCGCCTGGCGGCGCGTGTGGGGACGAATAAAGGCGGTCTCGGAGCAGGTGCGCTGTAGTCAAAACGCGTTCGCTCGCTCTGTGAGCCGTTCGTGTTCTCCGTTGTGTTGTGGAAGCGCTGTGTGCCTGAACGCCGCCCCCCGGCATTGGCTCTGCGGTGCTGAAATGCCCAGAAACGCGAGGAAGAAGTACCGGAATTCCCAGGCAGGCTCTGTGAGGGCACGCTGTGTGCTGCTGGCCCGTTTGGGAGGGATGAAGACAAAGGAGTAATGCTTGTTTGGGAGTTTGACGACTCATTTCTATTTCACAACGTCAGACCTTGCTGTAATTGTCACGTGAGTGCAGATGCAATTAAATTTCTTCTAAGAAGGGTAACTAAGAGACTATCCCCGAATCATTTTCTAGTTTACAAGCATTCTCCCAAAGTAGTGTACTTACATGCCTGTTTACGTCCCTTAAAAAGCACTGCTTGATGCACTTAGTTTGTGCTTAGAATACGAGTAAGAGCAGAGCAAGAGTGAAAGCTCTCCCTGGGAAGCATAGGAGTAGACAGGTTACGTTCCACAGAGCTCTAAAGCGCATCTGGTGCTTTGGAAGCAGAGAAGAGGTGTGTCAGCTGAGCTGCAGGAAAGCTGGTCGGATTTTTTGTTTTTTCTTGATGTTGGTTTACTTAGGAGATGGTTATGGGGATTTGGAAGGGGGACAGATGTTGGAATGGGCTGCTATGACAAGATGGGGTAAGAAAAAAAAGTACTTTGTCAGAGGAGGATACTGAAATTTTAAGCTTTAATACTCCTTTATCATCACTTATACCTCAGGTTAATGCTATGCTTTGGTTGTTCTTCAGTATTAGTGCTAGAGCTGATCAGATTGTGACGCTGTGTTGCCATATGTGCTGGCAGAAAGCAGTGCGGTGGGATGGGCCAAAGATGCAGCTGAGCTCTAATCTTGAGTTTCCCTGATGTTTGATTTTTATTTAGTTTTATTATTACGTTCACGTTGATTGATAGAAAAGCTGATTTTCTTCAGTGTTGTATGTAAACCTATGTATAGCTGTGATGTCATGATGGTGTTACAGCACTGCTGATTATTTTCACAGCGTAATGCAGGGAAGTCTGGGCTCATAGACCTAAAAAAAACTTTCTATTAAGTGAAGAACCTTCTTCAGTAGGTTTACCATTCTCTTCTATCTGCATGACCGATAGGAATGTTGCTCTGACACCACATGTGCGGTGTTTTCATAATCTTGCTGATTTATGAGCTTACTGGTACATTTCAAACTCTCTTTTGAGGATCAGCATCCAAACTACATGTTTGACTTTTCTTAGCAGGGATGCCAAAGGTGCCATTATTCATTCCACATGAAATGGGGGGGTGCTGATCATCCTTTATACAATTTATGCGGGGAATATAAGCGAAGAAAAAGAACTTAAGTCTTAGAACCTATGGAAATAATTGAAGGTAATCTTGAAGGTCTGTAGGGTGACTTCCTGTTTAGAGCAGATTCCAATGGATCCAGCAGCAGAGAAAGCTGGGATGTGGGTGTTCCTTGCTTCAAAGAGAGTATTAGCCTGAGCTGTGCAGGTAGTTTCCTGATGGTGAGGCTCAGTACAGGTTTGGCTCAGCTTCATTGTTTGCCAAGGAAGCCATGTAAGTTGTTTCATGTAACCACCAATGCAATAAAGCAAAGTAAAAGCTAAATGCAAATGCTTTAGATGAGGCTAGGAATGAAGATGTTAATGCTAAATTCCTAGTTAAATTTGTGTTCATTTCTTCTCCGGTCTATAAGGATGGAATTGAATTTTTTTTCTGGGACCAAAAATCCTGACCGGATTGCCAAAAGGGGAAATAAAAATGGTGCTAAAATGTGAGGAAAGAGCATTTTGCTAGAGGTGCTGGCTCTAGGTTTGTCTGTTGTCTGTCCATCTGTTTGCTTTCCTGCGGAAAGATGTTCTGCAAGCCAGATCTTAATTTTTTTCCCTTGACTTTACAGCCAGGAGTGGGTGCGCAGTCTCTGGGTGTGTCTGCCCAGAGCCCATCCAAATTGCAGGTGACTGAGTGACTGCAATGAGAGTCAAACCCAGCTGCTGTAAGAAGGCCATTTGTGTCTGGCACAGCCAGGTCTCTGGTGTTCCAGAATAAATTGTGCTGCAATCGTCAAATGTGTTCCCAATCAGACGTTCTGGCAAAAACCTCATTGGAAAAAAGTTGACATGTGATCATAAGGAAAATGAACAAGAAAACTCTTTCTTTATGCCTATTTTTTTAAATTGCTTAAAGTTCAGTAGTCTTGGTTTATCAGTTTCACTGGAGTATTTGTATCTTCTCCACATCTCTAGGGAGTAATTAGGGTATTGTGACTTCTTACTGCGGACGCTTTGCTCTGTGTGTTTGTTTGTTTTTCTGGTTGCTTTCATTCTGCTTAGCTCATTTCTGGGGATATGGCTTCCTGCTGGGGGCTCATCACTGATACCAGCTTCTTGTTTTTGTATGCTCTCGTAATCCATTTAAGTCATTTTACAGCTTTGCTCCTGCCAGAAGGTGTGGTTGTGCTGGTTCCACACATTAGCAGTAGTACCCCATGCCTCCCAGGCGAGCAGGCAGGCGCTGAGTTGGTGCCTGGCCCTTCTGTGGTGCCAGGGGGTGGCTGGAGAGCTCCTCACAGCCTGAGCTGCTCCCAGACACAAGCTGGTGGCAGAGCTGCCCCAGTGGCAGAAGGGAATGGTGTTGAGGAGGGGCTGGGTGAGGCAGGTGGAGGCAGGTGAGTGAATGGGGGGCTCCAGCAGTCAGCAGGTGAATTGGGCTGTCTTGGATTTGCAGAGTTACATAGTTCATGAAGCATGCAGACAGAAATAGGTGTCCTTTTAGAGGAATAATAGAAAGCTTTGGTTAAACCTCCATCTACAGCTTCAAAAAAAAAAAAAGGGGCTGAGATGTGAACTCACTGTGCTTTTTAGTGTGCTTCACTTTTTGCATGTGTTTCTAACAAATCTGGTTTTAAGTTTATATGTAAGATGTCTAGATAGAACATAATAGCTGGCAAATTCATATGCTCTTTGAACTTCTCTGAAAGGCAAATAGTGAGGTGCAGTTTCACATACAGTGCTTCTACTGCAGTGGGATTGGTTTCTTGGTAGACTGCTTTCTCTGGACCCGATCTATTCATAGAGAAGAAATGTAAAGGTGCGGTGTTAGTCGTACTTGAGGCCTTATAAACGACGTCTTGAATAAACAATACTTGGAAGTTGATTTTTATTTTTGTAATGCTACAGTATTCTGTCCTGTAAAACTATGGAAGAAATCTGAGTAGTCAACAGTTGTTAAGCAAACATAAAAAGATATTGATCATCGCTGAAATTCTCTCTTTCCTTTCAGGCTGCCATCATGACGGCTGAAGAAACAGTGAATGTTAAAGAAGCTGAAATAATTAAACTGATACTAGATTTTCTGAACTCAAGGAAGCTTCATATCAGTATGCTGGCGCTTGAGAAAGAAAGCGGGGTCATTAATGGCCTGTTTTCAGATGACATGCTGTTCTTAAGGTAGGCCTTTCTCCTGTGTTTCAGTACCACGTGTGTGAAAGGATACTGTTGGACTATGATTCCATGGGCAGCTCCATGACACTAAACGGGAGTTGTTGTCTTGTTCTTCTGCTTCCTTATCCCAGTTGTGTGGTCCAGCCCTGTTCTGTGTTTCATCTCTGAAGTTAACAAATTCCTTCAATGAACTACTTAATGTAAATGACTAAGCATCCACATAGGCTTTAGAGTTAGGTTTGTTTGTTTGTTTTCTTGTTTATTCACATTCTTGTTCATTCATTTTGACTTAGTTATTTTCCTGGCATGCTAATGAATATAAAGTGGGAAGGAGTCTTGACACGTGTCAGTGTCAGCAAGGGCTAAGTTGGGCAAAGCACCTGAGCAGGAGATGGGAGAACAAGATCTTCTAGCAGCAGTGATCTGTTATTATCTGCTTATTATGTCACGTGGAAATGAGCATGTTCTTGATTGGTTCCAGATACAAATAAAATATTCTTACAGTCTGCTAGTACTGAGATCTGGGATGAGGTACCTGTGG